CGCTCGCCCAAGGGCCGCGAGGGGCCGGTCTGCTGGCTTGACGAGGTCGTCTTTGAGCACACTTGTGCTTTTGACCCCAATGTCGTTGATGCGGACTACTAGGTCCTTGACAGGCGGCGTCTTGGCCTTGACATCTCGTGATGGCTTGGACAGTTCACCGACTGAGGGTCTATCTGCAGTTGATCGCGGGAGGCTTCAGCATCACAACTGCGAGAAAGTACTTACTTGGGAGCGAGGCGTCGGCTGGAGTATTTCTACTATGATTTCTGACGGTTATGGTCGGATCTGGGTTACATGTTTGGTGTTTTGTACTCTTTGGGTTTTCATGGATTAGCAGTGCGTATTGCACTGGCAAGGCTGACGGCATGAACGACATCGCGGTGGAGCAACGGGATGGTTAATGATGGGAGAACGGCATGAGAGACGGCAGGGACAGCGGCATGAACGACGACAGGGACATCGGCATGTGGGAGCAACTGATTCACAGATTGGTCAACGGCTTGTTCGACATCAAGGACAGAGTCGAGGTATCCTGGATTGCTCCTGCCGCCATGTCTGAAGTTGGGAAGGAACGGGGAGATGTAGAGTAAAGTAGTACCAGCGGGGGATTAATAACAACCCTCCCAAGTAACTTCAACCCCTGTGCTCAAAAGTTTCAAAAAAGGTGATCACATTGAAGTTATGTACGATCAAATAAACTATGGACACTGAAATGAACGAAGGTTGTATGTATGGGTTTATATGTGTATGGACCACACCTAACCTTAAACTTCAACTCCACATCAACCCCTTTCCCCCCTTCCTCACCCCCCTTAGTCACTTGCAATGCATGTGTTTACAAGCACTGCGAGTACCAATCATTCTGCGGCTTGCAGGTAGTGCCAGCAACGCACGTGAAGCTGCCCGTCCACTGGCGGCCGCCGCACTGGCCGTACTTGGCGATGGGCTTGGGCGCGGGCAGGGCCAGGATGCGCTGCGTGGCGTGCTCGGACGCGATGACGATGTAGGAGGTCGGGTTGGTGGTGGGCACGCCGGGGAAGATGGACGCGTCGATGACGAAGAGGTTGTCGGTGCCGTAGACTTTCGCGTTGAGGTCCACGACGGAGCTGCCGCCCGTGCGGCCGTCGTCGGTGCCCAGCTTGGCCGTGCCCATCCAGTGGTTGGAGCGGCGATTGCCGGTGGAGACGATCATCTATCAGGAAATCATGTCAGTATGGTGGATGTAGATGGGGGGGGGGGAACATATGGGAAGGGAGGCGTACGTTGTTGACGTAGTCGCGGGCCGAGATGCTCGCGTTAGGGAAGTTCCAGGTCAGGCCTGAGACGGACTTGAGGGCCTTCTGCAGGTTGACGATGCCCTGGATGACGGCCTCCTTGTCGTTGGCGTCCTTGAGGTAGGGCACGTCCGAGACGACGGTGGTCAGGGCGGGGGTGATGGTCATGCGGCCGCGCGAGGTGGCGCCGCGGCCGAGGTACTGCGACATGGTCATGGCCTCTGGGAGGGGGGTTAGTATACTATTCTACGAGGAAGCGGAAGGAGGGAACATACTGCCGTTGGGGGTGTCGAAGCTACCCTCGACACGGGCGGTCCACTGGAGCTGGCGGACGATGCCGTCGGCACCCTTGATCTCCTCCCAGAACCTGGCTTGGTTAGCTGATGACTTGGGTGGTTGGGGCAACTTGTAGGTGGCCAACTCACATGGGGCCGATGTTGGGGGCGGCCTGGGCGAGGATGCCAGTGCGCTTGTTGAGGTAGCTATCCTTGTCGCCCGCGATGGGTGCGGTCCACGCCGCGTAGAAGTCGTAGAAGGCAACGTTGGGGTGGGAGATGACGGTGTCAGTCTGTCAAAGGTCAGCAATCACCCTGGGTCTTTTTTCACGTAGAAACCCACGTTGAGATGGTCATCCAGGTTGTAGCCAACGGGCAGGGGAATCCACGACGAGTTGCTGATCATGGTCGGGCCATCCTTCTCTGAGGCCTTGACAATGGCCAGCTGGTCGGCCGGGCCGATACCGCTTCTCATCAGGATCTTGGCGCTGGCAAAGGTACCGGCGGACAGGATGACACGGCCCGAGACGCTGGTGACGTTGACGATACCCTGGTAGCCGCCGTCACGGAACGGCTCGACCTCGACACCGGTGATGTGGCCACCTTGGCGGATGACGCGCTTCACGGCCGTGTTGAGCCAGAGGTTGAAGTTGCTGCGCTTCTTGGCGCTGGTGAGGTAGGTCGCCAGGGGGCCGCCGCGCTCGCCGTCGATGAACATGAAGGGCGCGTGGGCAAAGGTGCGGTTCTTGGCGTCCGGGGACTGGTTGGCCGTCACCTGGCTCCAGCCGCCGGCAGCCAGGCCGCCCGAGAGGACCTCAAAGCCCTCCTGGTAGTAGCGCTTGCCGTCGGTCGAGGGGGCGTCGGTGCTCGGGATGCGGGCAAACACGCGGCCGACGGCGGCCTTGATGTCGTTGTACTTCCAGCCGGCGGGGAAGAGGTAGTCCCAGTCGAGCGAGTAGGGCTTGAAGAACAGGCCGGCGTTCACAGCGGTGCCGCCGCCGAGAACGCAGCCGGCCATCTGGTCGGTGTCGTCGCAAGCAATGCCCTTGGAGTCGACCCAGATCTGGTTGCACAGACCCGGCACGTCAAAGCGGGTAAGGTCGGTGCCCTTGAGCCACTCGGGGCCGAGAGTGCCGCCGTGCTCGGCGGTCGAGGCGAAGCCCTTCTCGATGAGCAGCACCTTCTTGCCGGACTCGCTGAGCTTGTCAGCCGCGGGAATACCGCCGGCGCCGCCGCCAACGACGACGTAGTCAAAGGTGGTGCCCGACGGCACCGGCACGCCGACGACGGCGGTCTCAGTCGGGCCGGCGCAGTCGCCCGAGACGGTCTTGGTGGCCTTGGCGGCCCAGGCAGTGTAGGACGGGTTGGCGGCGTTGGAGTCGAGGGCAGCGCCCCAGATGCCCATTCCGTTGTCGTGCTGCTCGAGGGCGATCTGGTCCGGGCAAGTCGGGCTGTTGGTGGGGCCGGTGGAAGCCTGGACCCAGCCGAGGACCAGGGCACCGCCGGACGTGGAGGCGCCGCCGGCGCTGCCGTCCTGGGTCCATTGCAGGCAGTTCTGGCACCTGAAGAGCAGGGTGAAGTGCGTTGAGTTGATGGTGGACGAGATCTGCGTGATCTGGGCGTCTCCCTTGTAGAGGTCCGGCATGGAGTAGCCGGTCGCGTACCGGAGACTGGTGTACACGGTGTCCTCGTGCGGCCAGGCGGTGATGAGGAGCGAGTTGGTCATGCCGCCCCCCAAGGAGACACCGCAGTAGCCCGCGGTGTCCACGGCCGCGCATTGCTGGGGCAGTCAGTGTCTGGGAGCGCGCGTTGTGGTCTCATCCAAGCATACCAGGTAGCCGATGAACTCGGAGGCATCGGTCGTGAGACCATTAGAGGGCAGAGCCACACCGAACTTGAAGCCTCCCTTGGTCTGGGCCGCCCCGTTGGCGATGCCCCACGAGTTGAAGATGATGCCCGAGGCCGGGTCAGTGAAGGTCTCCGGAGCATTGTTCTGGGCAAGGGCAGACGGCAGGACTAGGGCGTATGTCAGTCACTGGAGGGCTGGAGCACGCTCGACTCGCACTTACACGATGCCGCTGCCGCAAGGGCACCGACGTAGCGAGAGGAGGACCTCATGTTGGAGTGCAGATACTGGTTCGCCTCGACTCTACCGGCAGACGAGCACAACAGGTCGCAACCGGGGAGACGGCTCCCCTCTTAAACCCCATGGCTGGCCCCTTTCGGCCCCAGGCAACTTCGGCACGCATCCAACTCTGGCGGGGGAGCAAATGAAGGGCAGGCCAAGCAAAATCTCCGGGAGGTGGAAGCGGCGGCAACCCTGTCCGCCATCGCGAGCTGGATGCTACTCCAGCGATCCATCCGGGGAATAGGCAAGAACCTCCCACGGCGGACGAGCCGGAGGAGGCCGCGCAAACAGGCACACACTGCGCGGTAAGCTTACTTTCACTGACAGACATGACGAAAGAGGGCAAGACGCCGAGGCTTGCGCCGTGCTAGTGCCTGGGGAAACTGCAAATGCCATCACCCAGCGCATGCAATATGCCCGACTCGGGAGGTTACAAACCCGGTTCGCGTGGAGAGCGGGTAGTTGCCCACTACGACGACGTCTCGGATAGGAGTCCCGGTGATTGCAGGGGCGCTGCAGGGCCGTGCCGCCAGGCGCCCAGACCGGGCAGCCAGCATTGCGGGTAATTGGGAGAATGCTCCGTGGGCTAGCGGCAATGGGGAAACAAGGTTGCTGGGGCTTGGGTTCCCGGCGTGCCGTGACCATTCCGGAAACGACACTTTGCGGCACGTCACCTCCGAGAGTGCCCCCGTCCTGCGCCGCCGGGTCGCCGCCCGGGGGCGTCTGTGCCAACGGCGAGCGTGGTGTTTGTCATCGATGGCTGGGCTTGGCGGTTGCAGACTCGTGGAGAATAAGAGAACCCCGCGCCCGCTGGAATCCTCCAGGATTGTATTGAGGACGATTCGAGATGCGGGAGACGCGGATGCTCCGAAGAGAGGAGGGTGTGTGCCGGGTGTTTTGAGGGGGTTGCAGCAACAGCGAAAGAGGAAGGTATCGTCGCGTCCCGAAAACCCGGTCGTCGCCCTGGCTGTGCCTGGCTGCGTGCTGGGCCGTTCCCGTGATTCCACCGCGCCCTCTTTCGACCCATCGATCAGCTGTGTCCGGGGACAATCGATCTGGCCGGGTCTGGGCTGCGCTGATCAGCGAGAGCCGCACCGTCGCCGCGTGGGAAATGTTGGACTCGAGGAAATGATCTGCCATGCCGAAGCTTCGTTTGATTGCGGCTCATGCAGAGACGGGTACCAGATGGGAACCAGACGGGAGGCGGCAGGCCGACCGCTTCTGGACCTTTGGCAGGCCAAAAATAAATCAAGGCATCCCATTCGTATCCTGACCGAGTCGAGCGAAGGACACAAGGTGAAGCCATCGAGGAAAAAGAAAGCTCGACCCACGTGCGGCTCGAACGCACAATCTCCAGAGCCGAAATCTGGCGCCTTACCATTTGGCCAGCGGGCCTTTGTATGTGTTACATTGCGGCTGAATGCAAAGTTGCTCATGGCGGAGTGTGGGTTGGTGGCGGAGTTGGGATGGAAGTGAATGGCTTGTGATTTGCGGGTGGGGAGAAGTGCCAAGGCAAGGCTGGAAGAGTCGAGGCGGCAGGGCGGGTAAAAGCGGGCCCGCCAAGTGAAGGCTGCGCTGTGAGGTTGCGATTGGCCTCGACTTTTTTCTGATCTCGCGATAAGCACCACTGAGAACGCTGTCGAGAGCACCCAGCAGCCAGACAAGCACTTCTCCCCTCACGAACGACACCGCCCTTACCGCCAAAATGCGCGCCTTAACCGACCAAGAAATGAAGACGGTGTTGGACAAGGTAACCCTCCCTTTCAATCCTCCCGATGTATCCCTCCAAAGAAACAACAGAAACAAACCAGCTAACACCTTTCCCCCTCCCCCAGCTCGCCAACTACATGTCCGACCTCAAGAGCCTGATCGCCCCCCTCGAAGACGGCGACCGCTACGTCTTCCGGCTGAACCACTCCCGCGTACGCCCTCCCATACAACACTCCCCCCCAAAACCCCCCCCCCCCCCCCCCCCCCCCCCCCCGATCCTACTCGAACCCAACCCTTACTTACGATTTGGTGACGCACAGGTCTACTACGTCAAGCTCTCCCTCGCCAACCTCGCCACCAGCATCAGCCGCGACGCCCTTCTCAGCCTGGGCACCTGCCTCGGCAAGATGACCAAGACGGGCAAGTTCCGCCTGCACATCACGGCCCTGCCCATCATCGCGTCGGGCGCGCGCCACAAGATCTGGGTCAAGGACAACGGCGCGCAGCCTTTTCTGTATGGGTCGAACGGTGCGTCTCCTCTTTTCTTCGTTGAGTGGTGGTAGTCGATGCAGGTGTGGGTTGCTAGTAGAAGGAATGCTGACTGGCTTGGGGGGTAGTGGTCAAGGCGCACGTTGGGCGGTGGTCCGAGGACTGCCCCGAGCACCAGGGCTGTGTGGTGTACAGCATGGGGGATGTTCCTCTCGGATTTGGCGTGGTAAGTAGCTCTTGGTTTTGTTTTGTCTTGTTTGGGGACATGGCTGACATGAGTAGACTGCGAGGAGTACGGCCGAGGCGAGGCGGCTGGATCCCACGGGCATCGTGTGCTTCCGGCAAGCAGACTGCGGCGAATACCTCCGTGACGAGGACACGCTCTTTGCCGGTTGATAGGGCGGGAGGTCGGGCGGCACGGTTAGCAAAAATACGGGCGGCGTCAGGCGTTTAGAGGGTCCTAGATCTATCATGTAGGCGGGTACTGAGGCAAATGACTTCTGTCAAGTCAGCTGTACATACCGAGATACCAAGAAATATCTATTTTATCTATCCCAATACTCTTCTCTCTCCATCTCCTTAAACCACCAACCGATGACCATCGACTCACAAAACCGCCCCCTCCCCCTCATACCCCCCAATCCCCCGCCCATCCACCGCCTCCCTCACGGGCGTCACCGGCCTGCTCTCCCGCACCGAAGCAAAGAAACTGATACTCTCCCGCTGCGCGACATACTCGCTATCCGCATACCCCAAAATCCCCTCCACCTCCACGCTCTGCCGCCCCTTGATCCTCGCAATCTCAGCACTCGAATAATTACTGAGCGCCCTGCCCACCTCGCGCGCCTCGCCCTCCCACAATCTACTCTCACCATCATTATTTTCTTCCTCCCCTGAAGCCACCACCCCCGCAGCACCCCCTTCCCTCCTCCGCTTCTTCTTATCGACCACGCAAAGCCTCACCGCCTCCTGCTGCGCAAAACTCCCTTCCACGTCGACCACGCCCACGGGCAGCAGCCCGGCCTTGCCGACCAGCGCCTTGTACGCGCCCTGGTCGATGTACAGCGTGCCGTGCGGGCGCAGGCCGTGCAGGATCCAGAAGTAGCGGTCGCGCACCGGGTGCGGCGAGGGGAGGAAGCGCGTGTGGAGGGGGATTGTTTTGCTGGGACCACCGAAACTAGGGATTGGGGCTGGGTTCGGGGTCGAGGTGAGGGTGCGGTCTGCTGAGGTGTCGGATGGGGCCGGTGCCGGGGCCGGGGCACCGGGGGTGGCGGCTGGGGAGGGGAGGAGGGTTTCGGTGGTTCGCTGTGGCTGGTCTGGTGTGCCCGGGGTTTGGTTGGCCTTGGTGGCGAGGGAGGGCGGCGAGCGGCTGGCTTGGATGTGCTGGACGATCTTGACAATGTTGCCTGGGATGGAGGACCGCGTGATGACAGTTGTGACGCCGGCCGAGGTGGCGAGGCGGGCCGCGACGATCTTGGTGGACATGCCGCCTGTGCCGAGCGAGGAGCCGGCCGTTGAGACTGGGAGGGTTAGTGTTATTTAGTACCGAAGTAACAAGTGAGAAAAGACACACCATCTGCTACCAGAGACCCAATGTCCTCGACCACCTCGATAGGGTGGGCGTCGGCATGGGTCCGCGGGTTCTTGTCGTACAGGCAGTCGACGTCGGTCATGAGGAAGAGCAGGTCGGCGTGCACCATGGCGGCCGTGATGGCCGAGAGCGTGTCGTTGTCGCCAAACTTGATTTCCGAGACGGCCAGCGTGTCGTTCTCGTTGACGATGGGGATCACGCCCATGTCCAGCAGCTCGGTGATGGTCCTCTGAGCGTTGAGATAGCGTGACCTCTGCGGCTGTGTAAGTGGCCGACACAAGCAGGGCAGTGAAACAGGGCCGTCAGTGACTTACATCGGCAATATCACTTCTTGTCAGGAGGATCTGGGCAATGGGCTGCCGGAGATGGGTGAACAGGCTGTCCCAGAGACTCATCAGCCGGCACTGGCCGATGGCTGCGAGGGCCTGGAAGAGAGTCAGCGCCAGATCCGACTTCCAGGAGGAACCATCTCACCTGCAGTTTTGACAGATGCTTTGGCCGCTTCTCGACATCCATCCGCCGCAGCCCGACGCCGATGGCGCCCGACGAGACGATGATGACCTTGTGGCCATCCTTCCTCAGCCTCACTGCCGTTTCCACTATCGACGTCAGGATGGAGAGGAGGGGCTCATGCGTCTTTTCGTCGACGATGGAGCTGGTCCCTGGGAAATGTCAGTCACACGAGCCCCTGTCTCAAAGTGCGATTATTGCTCACCAAGCTTGATCACCACGCCAAGCGGCCGTGGCCCCCTCATGGCTGTGAATCGATGGAACAGGAGTTAGTGAGAGACAACGAGGTGAAGCCAAAACAGCAGGCTCAAAACATCAATTCATCTGCGGGATTTCTCTCTTACACAGACTCCAACTCGTTTCCATTATATAGCACCCGCCCTCGGGTATGCTCCAGGGGTGCTATTAATTTTTGCCCTGATCGATGCGACTGCAGGGCGCTCACATCCGATCAGTGGGACCGCTGTGACGACGGGCGCAGGATTGCTGGGTCCTCGGGTTGCTGTGAGCTGTTCGATTGGCCGAGATCGGGGGGGCCGAATCCGGGGTCAAATGGAAACGAACGAAATGTCCAAAGGTCAACAATGCGCCCTTTTGCTGGGCGTTAGTTACCGCCTGACCAAGCCGGCAAGGGCGTGGCAGCTCCACCGCCAGGGCAAATTGTGGGGCGGGCGCTGGGCGGTGGAGCTGCTAGCGCCGTCTTGCAGATCAAATCGCGAAACTTCCAGGTTCAACATTCTCGGCCAGACTTGGACGATAGCCGCGATTTGATTTCGACACCGCATCAACACCGCCCGGCGGACCAACACTCCTCCCTGTTTATCGAGCTCCCTCGAATTCCTTGGATATACCGGACACGCCCGAAAGCCACACAGGGACAACCTCCCCTCTCCAACCATGGCAACACCACCACCCCCCTCCTCCTCAACCACCCCCTCGACCACCTCCCCAAACCCACAACCCTCCACCCAACAACAAGAACCACCGCAAACCCGCCCCCTCCCCCGCTTCCTCGAAAACGACCCCGCCCGCACAGGCTACGACCCCTCCCTCAAATGGTGGCTCAACTACTTCAAGATCCTGACCGGCCAGATCACGCGCGAAGGGGTAGAACACTACCGCGAGGACCGGTACAAGATCCACGAGGCGCGCGACTGCGCGCGCTGCGAGGCCGACCGCGCCTACCTGTTCCAGTACTCGCCGGTGATCACCTTTCTGCGCGACAAGGTCGCCGCGCTGAACGGGACGTTGGATGAGAATAATGTGGTGTGTCGGCGGTGCCCGGCCAGGGTGGCTGAGGATGGGCGGGTGGTGAGGCAGGGCGGGGGGTTTAGCCCCGAGCATGGGATTCTGATCTGCGCGAATGAGATGCGCGATCGCAGTCACCTGGAGGATACGCTCGCGCATGAGATGGTGCATGCGTGGGATCATTTGCGGTGGAAGGTGGATTGGTCTGGGGGAGGGAACTTGAGGCATGCTGCTTGTACTGAGGTGAGTTTTTTTTTTTTTTTTTTCAGGGTGGCAGTTTGGGTAGAGTCCGTGTGGTTACTGACTGGCGGTGTCTAGATCCGCGCCTCGATGCTCAGCGGAGAGTGCCGGTGGACGCGAGAGTCAATGACACGGGGCAACTGGACGCTGACGCAGCAGTTTCAGAACTGCGTGCGGATGCGGGCGATCCAGTCCGTCATGGCGCGGCCGGCGTGTAGGGACGACGTGCACGCGACCAAGGTGGTCAACGAGGTGTGGGACTCGTGCTTCTCGGACAAGCGGCCGTTCGAGGAGGTGTACCGCTGAGGTTTGAGAAAGGCGACGACAACTCCCCGCTGTAAATGTAATAATGTCTGTACTAGTAACGAACTTCTCCCGCAAAAGAACAGCTGATGCAAACGGCCCAGCAGATCGCTGAGGGCGCGGAAATTAAACCCAAACAAGGCCGGATAGGCTGCGCTATGCAATGAACAAACTCCTGACAGTTCCCCAGTAAACCCAACTCCGACGCCAAACGCCACCGCTGACTCCGACAATTGCAGACACCTCATCCAGACTATTTGACGGGCTTCTCCCTGTTGGTCGCCCGCTCGCCCTTGACGCAGTG